CCCCAAAACCCCAAAACCCCCGAGTCATTAAATTCTTACATAATGTTAGAAATGATTAAGTTAATTTTCTATTTATTTATTTCCTGATTCTTTAGCTTATAAGCAGCTCCTAATTGGATTAATTTAAAAAAGTTTATCAAATAAGTGACAAAATGATAAAAGGGTATAAAATAAATCTAGATCACCGATTGCAGAACATGAATGCTTAGCTATCAATTACTGACCATTAAGAGGATTCTTAAACAATGGATAGTAAAGCACCCCAGTCTGCTTCTCGGAGGGTTTAATTCAACTTAAAATATGAATATAATCCAAATTAATCAAGAAATTAGATAAATCAAAATCTAAATCAAATGAAAAAGGAGAGAAGCTAAAAAATAGTTTAACTTGCTAAAATGGTAGCTTATCAATCAACTGATTGCAGCAACTAAGGAGTGAAATCACAAAGTAAAATAGCAACAAATTATGGAGGAATACCTCTGATTACAAAGAAAAATGCAAGCCCAACACTAAAGCAAGCATCTAATCTGTAAGTATTACTGAAAAATTTCAATTTTAATGAGGCTATAGGCGAGATCACACATTCAAGCTAGACTAGACATTTTCAGATTAGAAAATCTTGGTTTCTGATAGCTAGACTTATAAACCTATAAATTTCTAGCCCTAAATGTGGCTCTTTTCAGATAAAGTAGAGCTAGATGAAATCAAGCCAAATAAAAGGAAATCTGATCCTAATATCAAATGAGATGAATATAACTTCTTCAGACCCATTAATAGGAAATTCTCAAGATAAAATATTGCAAATATAGCACGATAGGAGTACTCTGTGATGCAAACATAGACTCAAAAATATATGTTTCCTTAGGAAGTTGACATCAATAAATCTCAATCTCAATAAACTTTGAATTTCACAATGTAAAACAGTCTAATTAATACAAGAGAAAATTCCCCCTACGATTATAGTCATTAGCCAGTCTAGTAAAGAAATAATTTTATTCTCTCTCGCTAGAGCTTAGAAGTTTAAAATATAATCACAGATAACTTCGTGAAGCTAAGGAGACATCAGAATAAGATTGCAAATCAGTTAAGGGAGGATTAAGAAACAAAAATTATGAGCAGATCACTGGATAAATGATCAATGTTACCGAGAGTAAATTATATTCAAAAAGATAAAACATCCGAAAGTACTGCAGATCAAATTACTAGAAGTAGCCTTGAGTAAGGGGAACTCATAAGCTTTATTGATTTCAAAGAAAAACCAAATAAAAAAAGGAAAGTTCAAGTTGTAAAACTAAAAGCATCATTAAATGAATCTCCCAAAATTATAAAACTGCCTCAACTAGACGTCGTAGAAAATACCTTAATAGATGATTTCAATGGAACGATTGAGACATCTAATTCACAAGAAAGTTAAATTGATTTAAAGAAAAATATCAATTAGTAGAAAGTTAAGAAATAAGTTAAGTTTCAAGATGTATCATAAACTACATCTGAATCTCCAGGAATATTTTAGTGCTCTCCATATTATAAAAGTCAAGTAAAAATAAAACTTCTTGATCAGAACAAGTTTGCTCATCTTTAAAGGAAAGATTATCAAATCTTTGAAAATAGACTTAGTTTGCAAGATTAAAAGTTTATACCAAATTAGAAGATAGTTAGCTGATTTGAGATTATATGATTAATTATACAAAAATCACCTATCTTGGAATTCATTTTTAAAGTTAAAGAGGAAAAAAAAATATACTTTTAATTGAAGTAAACTATTAATCAAAGTTTATTTTTAATTTCATTAATCAATCATTAAAAAAGATTTGATTTTCCTCGATATGGGGTTTTGGGGTTTTGGGGTTTTGGGGTTTTGGGGTTTTGGGG